CTGAGCCCCGCTGTTTGCAAATGTAGCAGGTCAGCTTCCAGCGAGCTGGTGGGATGTGCTCAATGCTGTCGATGGGCTCCAGGAAGACCGTGTTGGCAAAGCAGACCTCAGGGATCCACAGGGCGCACACCACATGGGCCCAGCGCCCATCATCTGTCTGCTTGAAGGCACCACCCTTGTTGGGGCACAAGGCGCAGTCCACAGCACGGGAGGGTGACTGCAGACAGCGGCGGCACAACCACTGGCCCTCAGGGATGTAGGGGACACCGTAGCACTCCTGGTGCACAGCCAGGTTGCACATGTCACAGAAGAGGATGACGTTGCTGTTCTGGCACTCACCATCATTGCAGATACAGCACACAGCATCCTCATCCACTAGCGCATTGGGGTCGCCTTTATTGTGGCTCTCAAAGTAGGACTCTTTCTCCAGCCGGTCCATTAAGTACTCAAAGATCTCCTGTGGAATGGGACTCACACCCTCCGTCTTCCGCCGCTCGTTCATGATATCCAGCCAGATGTAGTCCTCCTCGTCCATGTCATACTCCACCTCCTCATCCAGCTCCTCTGCTGACTTCTCGATGTACCTGCAGTGCACACAGGCAGCTTGGCATCACATGGTTGAGCCTTCCCTCCCTTAGAGACAACGGGCTCCAGGTGCTGAGCGCTTACTCTGTGCCAGACCTGTGCTTTCACATATGTGTCGTCTCATTCTACCCTCAACTCAATCCCAGGTACTACCAGTCCTACAGTCATTCCTGTTTTGCAGAAAAGGAAACCTAACCTTTGGGGAGGTTAATTCACCTGCCCTAGCCCTCTGTCTCTTGTGAAAGTGGTAGAGCTGAGAGATGAACCAAGGCCTGCCAATTCCAAAGCTCGTGTCCCAGCGGCTACGTTGTCTCCTTCTAGGTGCAGAGGCTCAGCCAGACCCCTGAAGGGACAAGGGTGGTGCAGCTAGGACCCATTACTGGGGTAGTCTGGGTAATGGTGCAAAGTCAGGGGAAGGAAGGTCCTCAGTTATCACCTGCAAATTATATATAAGTTATTTTAGCACTAGCTGGCCGTGTCCCTGAATGGAGCTGCTGTGGGTCTTCTGTCAGCTGGTGCCAGCATCAGCTCAGGGCTCCCTCAAATTCTGGGTAGTCTTTGCTCTCTGAAAAGCCTTGGGAGATGAGTCAGAATAGGTAAGATTTACTGAGCAGTTACTGTGAGCTAGGCACGGTACTAAGTTATCACATTTATTTTCCCCACAGCCATAGGGTCAGTGTTCTTAATACCCTCACTTTGTAGGTGAGGAGACTGAAGCTCTGAGAAGTTAATTAACTGCCCAACACAGACAGGCCACACAAGCAGGAATGGCAGAGCAAGGATTCAAACTCCACCCTTTGGCACGCATGGGGCCAGCGGGACTGGAGCAGAGGGCTGCTCCACATGCCTGGGGTACAGAGCAGACTCCCCACCCTCGGCCACACATGTACGCTCTAGGCAGCCTGACTCCCACCCTGTACAGCTACAGGGAGCTATGATGGAAAGAACAGGACTTCAGCTTCTAAGAAACCTGGGTTTAGATCCTGGCTCTGCTACTTTGTAACCTTCAGGACATCCGTGCTCTTTTCTGAACCTGTTTTATCGATGGTAGAATGAGGATAACACTGCTTACTCCCAAAGACACTGTTAGGATTAAATGGAACTACAAAAACAAGCGGGCTCAATCAGGTGGCACACAGCAGGCCCTAGATAAAATGTTAGTTCCTGCCGCTCCTGTCTCCTGTCCACAAGGAAAATGGGGCTCTGGGGAACAGAGCAGGCCAAGAGGGCAAGGGCCCCAGAGCCACGGTCTACACGACCGCAGGCCAGGGAGCTAACCACCCCGGGCCTTGGTTTCTGTATCTGTAAGAAGGTGATGCTAACCTTAACCTCTTTCATGCACTGTTGTGAACATTAAACGAGTTAATACAGGTAGAGTGCTTAGAACAGTACCTGGCATGAAGCAAGTACTCAATTTATCTTAGCTTTGTCATTAGTTTTTGCATAGCTCTGACCTACCTTGCCTTGTACTGTACTGTTCATGTGTCTTAACTTCTCCACTGCTGGACAGAGGCAGGGACCATGTCTGATTCACCACACAGAAAGAGGCGCTCAGTTGTTCACTTGAAAGGCATTTTGGGAGTGGAAGAAAGGAGAGACTAAAATGCTAAAATGCTACGTCTCTCAGAAGCAGCGCCTTCCTTAGTCCTTTACCTCTTCCCCAAGATGGCTTTAATGTTTTCATCCTTGAAAAAGGGTGTGGCTCAGGGCTAGTGTGAACCATCTGGTTCCTTCTAGGCCTTGGCACCTGCTCTCAACCTCTTTTCTGCCACGGCATACGCGACATTACGTGGTGGTGCATAACACACTCCCACGGTGCACCCAGATTACAGACTGCAGCACAGATAAGGTAGGCTGCATGCTATGTACAATTCCTGGCACACCAGCTGACACTCCGCCCTCTCTCTCCCCCTCAAGAAAGCACATCAGATGCGAGCAAGAGAAAATGGTATTATTAGAGAGATGACCTCAAATCTTCTCAAATTTATATAAAAAGCAAATCATTTCCAAAACAGGCAGTTCTGCTAACAGTAGCAACAAATTACATGCAACACACCTCCCAACTGATTGCAGTGCACCAGCTGAGAACTGCTGCCTAGAGAACAGATCTAATCCCCAGGAGGAAAGAGTGAATCTGAGTGGAGGGAGGAAGAAAAGGAGCAAAAAGGAGCTGAGCTGGGCTGCTTATCAGAGCACAGAGCACACTGAAGAGCCATCAGGAGGGAGGGCAGGCCCAGAGAGGGGTGAGCACGGCAGTCAGGACCAACAGAGAGGAGAGACAGTGGAAGCCAGAAGGAGCTGGAGCTGGGGTGGACAGACCAAAGAACAGAGGAGAGGAAGGGGAGACTGGCTGATGTGTGAATGGGGTGAGAGGAAAGCGACACACTGGGCCAAATCACTTGGGTTCCCAAAGATTTGCTTAAAAAGAAGTGAGATTTAATATAACATCACGTGGGTTGCGCTTTTGGTAAAAACTACTTTTCACATAAGAACCTTTACAACAAGCCCTTCTCAGAGATCAGGCCTTCTGATTAGCTGTTACCAAAGACTGTTGCTTAACTAACTCATCCGAACGCCCTCTTTGCCTTGGATGCCAAGACTCTCAGGGAGAAGTTTCACACTTGGTTTTTATTCCATCCTTCCGCTAGGGTTTCTGTATATAGTTTCACCGTCATACTTCCCCAACTCCTTCAATTTTTTACCTCCTGTTAAAGGAATTTAGCCTTATGCCTGTGATTTTATTAGGAGCCACTGTGACTAATTTTTGGAAGGAAGTAGGGTACCAAGAAAAAATTAAGTGAAACAAATAAAAGGGTCCTTGGAGAAGTACAAGACATAGGTGATACAAATACTGCTTACACATGCTAAAGAATGGGTGACAGTAATAGAACAAGCAATAAGAAAACTACTTCTGCAGATTTACAAATCGCTTTTAGGACCTTATGAAGTCAGTGTCCCTAGTCTTGCACCTATAGGCTGGCAGAGGAAAGCTACACCTCCTCTGCAGCTGGGGTCACCAGACCAGCAGAAGCCAGATGCCTTTCCCAAGGTCACACAGTGATGGAACAGAAAGGGTCAGGAAAAAAAATAACTGGAGCTTCTGCTACTGTGGACATAGTGCAGCTCTGGAGTCAGCTCTGGGTTTGAACCTGGTTCAGTTATCTACTGGCACGTGATTTGGTAGGTCTGGTCCTTTTTCTCATCTGCGAAATGAGAACAATACCCACTTGAGTAACCTGTGAGCACAGAAAAGGGCCACCCCACACAGGGCACGCAGCCGTGCACGGTAAGTGCCACCGTCATTAGCTGGGGCACGCTTCCTCTCACTGCCCGGCGGGCCCAGTGTGCTTCTGCTACCCTCCATCCCAGCCACTCCGTGAGCTGCTGCCTGTCACCTGTCTTTGCCTCCTGAGCCCCGCTTGACCAGTTCTCCAGAGTCGGGAGGTGGAGGGGGCCTTACCGGTAGTAAGAAGTCGGCCGGGGCGGGGCGTCAGGGGTGTCCTGCTCCAGCTCGCGGTACACCACCTCGGGCAGCTTGGGCGCGGTGCTCGCAGAAGCATTGTGGTGGTGGTGGTGGTTGGAGTCCTTGCGCTTCTCCTTGTTCTTATGCTTGCCTGGCTTGGGAGTAGCAGCCGGCGTCTCGGTGTTCTCCTTATTGCTGCCGTTCTCGGGGGCCTCCTCGGGGGCCTCCTCATCCTCTGACACCACATCCAGGTTGTCAAAGATGCTGATGCGGTGGACGCGGCCGTGCAGGTCCACCTCCACCATGCGCTGGGCCTGTGCGTAGCTCATCACCTCACGGCCGGGTGACTGCGATACCTCTGAGGGGCTAGGCGACTGCTTGTTGGCCGGGCGTGACTGGCGTCCCTTCTTCTTGTGCTTGCGGAGTGGAGTCTGCTGTGGGGGTGGTGGGTTGTCGTGGTCATAATGGTACAGGTGGTACTCAATACCGCTGTAACTCTTGTAGACCTTGCGGCAGGTCTCCACTGGGCATTCATAGGGCGGCTTAGTTGCCCGCAAGTTGTGGCAGAAAGTCTTCACGTCAAAGTCCACCCCCATGCTGTCACATCTAGAATGTACAGATCAATTAGCATTGGCCTGGGGAAGACTGCTTGGCTGCCCACTCCAATCTCTCCAGCCCTCCCTCTCCTCAAGGGTCCTGGCCAGCATCTCCAAATGCCATCTCCTCCACACCATGGCCACAGTCTGAGCCTTATCACCTCTT